CAGACCTCAACCACTGATGAAGAGATTGAGTTACTGGTTTCTGTCTTTCTTAGAAAGCTGCAGGATAATATTCAATTCTCTAGGAAGTAGCAAGTGTGGGGAAGGGAACAGAAGATGGCACAGAGACTGGATTTACACAATCGTGGCAGCCCACTTTGGCTTACGGAAGTCCTGCAGGGTTGAGATTGCATGTTCATGACCATTTTGAATGTGCAGCCACCACTGAGGAGTTATCATGGTCTGTTGCATTGTCTGGATTCAGCCAAGAAAGAATATTTTATAGTTAATCCACCTTCTAATAACTCATGATCTGTTCAAGAGTTTTTCCTTTAGTGTTCAAAGAATAAAGCTTGATAAACATAGGTGTGTGAAAATTGCTGTAGTTACCCTTTAATTATGAACACATGATTTAAGAACATGTATTTTACTACAGTCCTTTCATGTTACACTGCCAGTACTGGCCTTAGACTTTTTCATTTAATACAAATCAAAATTATCCCCAGCTTCTTGAATTTCATTTTTTGTTTTGTTTTGGAAAGCACATAAACACATACAGAATTGTTTTATTTAATATGAATCTCCAAACATGACAGTAGCTTCCTTTTATCAGCTGTTGCTTGGCATCATGTTTCCATGTTTTTCTACTGAAATACATGCAAATCTTACTTGTCCCTCAGTAGGATGCACCTTGCAGTTCCTGGTTAAAATTTTTTTCCTGCCCTTCAGCTATAGTTCAGAAGACATGAAAAACTGTGGCCGTGTGAAGAAAATTAGCTTAATTGTGAAAACAAATAAAAAGGAAGAGAGAGTGATTTGCCCTGGTGCAACAATACCATTGCCCTTAGCTTGCTTCTGAATGTCTCATGGAAAGAGGCAGCTTGACTGTATGCAGGTTGATAATTTCCCAGAACAAAAACTAGGAGAGAGGCACAACCCCCCAATTCCCAAACAAAGGTTATAAAGACTGCCAGTGCTTAAAATATATTGCAGTCCTGCATCTTTCAGAACATGAAGTTCCTTCTTCAGTTTCAGAGATTAACATTGGATGACCCCAACAACTGAGCTATGGGGTTCTGCAGGGTAACATCCTGTCTCCAGTGTTGTTTCCATCTATATGAAGCCATTGGGAGCAAGGGATTTGGAGCCAAGTGTCATCAGTATGCTGATGACATACAGTTCTATTTTCTTGTGACAGCTTAATCAGGAATGGCTGTACAAGTCCTAGGTGAGTGTCTGGACTCAATGATGGACTGGATATGGGCCAAAAACCAGAATCAGAAAGTGACAGAAACCTTGTGGGTGAATGGTTCCTGAGTCTAGAAATAGGCTGATTACCTGTTCTTCTGAAAGATTAACTCTGTTGTCCAGGGGTACTTCTAGATCCATCAGTGTCCTTGGGGTCCCAAGTGACTGCAGTTGGTTCCTCAGCTATGGCCTCTCCTGGACAGGGATAGCTTGGCCACAGTGCTTCTGTGAAAGCTGGAGCTAATGCAGAATGCACCAGCGAGCTGTTGTTAGGAGTTTCCCCTTTTCAGCATGCAGCTGTCCTGGTTGCCAATCAACTTCTAGCCCAAGTTTTAAGTTCTAGTACTAGTGTACAAAGCCCTGAACAACTTGGGACCAGAACACCTGAGACAACACCTTAGAGATCAGAGAAGAGTAGATTTGGAAAGGGCCATCAGGTCCAACCCCCTGCTCAGTGCAGGACTCCCAAGTTAAATGGTGCCTCTCAGATATCCAGTTGCATCATGAAAGCCTCTCTGTTGGAGAGCCCACAGCCTTCTTGGGCAATTGGTTCCATTGTCATATTGCTCTAACAGTCAGGAATTTTTTTCCTGATATCTAGCTGGAACCTGGTTTCCTGTAACTTGAGCCCATTGTTCTGTGTCCTGCACTCTGGGATGATTGAGAAGAGATCCTGTCCTTCCTATTTGTGACAGACTTTCAGGTGCTTGTAGAGTACCATTATATCTTCCCTTAGTCTTCTTTTCTCAAACTTAAACATGCCCATTTTTTCCCAATCTCTCTTCATACAGCTTTGTTTCCAGTCCCTGGATCAGCCTTGTTGCCCTCCTCTGGACCCTTTCCAGCTTGCTGCATCTTTTTTAAACTGTGGTGCCCAGAAGTGGATACAGTTGTCCAAATGCAGCCTAATCAGTAAAGGGGAACTAGTACTTCATGGGATTTGGAAGTGATACTTCTATTAATGCAGTCTAAGAGGGCATTTGCCCTTTCTGTGGCCACATCAAATTGTTGACTCATATTCAGCTTCAGGCTGCTTCTCACCTGCAGTATTGTTGAGCCAAGTATTTGTAACATTGTGTTTGGTTTCTTTTTCCTATGTGCAGAACCTGCTATTTCTCCTGACTAAATTTCATTCTGTTGTTCTCTGGTCAGGGCTCCAACCTGTCAAGATCACCTTGAATCTTCTTTCTGCCTTCCATGATTACAGCTATCCCACCCAGTTTTGTGTCATCTACAAATTTGATAATAATTCCCTGCATTTCCTAATCTGAATCATTAGTAAGAATTGCCCAGAACTGAATCTTGCAGTACCCCACTTGTTAACCCCTCTTTAGTTTGAGGAGGTGCCATTGATGAGCACTCTTTGAGTCTGGTTCTGTAGTCAACAGCAGATCCACCTGATAATTGTTCCATCTAGCCCACTTTTAGCCAACTTGCTAGCTGGGATATCTTTCTTGCCGGCCTGAATAATCAGTGAGATCACCAGAGAACATTTTCCTGGTGCTTCCACATGTACCCATGGCCCAGCTGGAGTCCACCAAGAGAAGCCTTCAGTAGCCACATTTCTATGGAATTCCCTGCCTCTGAATGTCAGGCAGGCACCAATACTATGATGTTTTCAACTCCTGTCGAAGGCACTTTCCTTGCTGACCAGCTATGGCTTTAATGCTATCTTGTTTTTTAATGTATTGCTTTTATTTCTTTATCTGTTTTAGTTTTGTGCTGTCCACCATTCCAGAATCTGCCTAGTTCTAGAGTGATATACAAATACTGTAAATAAAGAAGTAAATAAAGAAATAATAGCAAAACTGGGAAGCAAGAAAATAGCCACTAAGCTTGCTTCAGTTTGTTTTCAGACTATGAAAGTTTAAGACTGCTTTTAAAGAAGGAACTTGCGCTTATAAAACAGACTGGGCTTCCACACTTTTTCAAGCTGGCAAGAAACATTTTGGAACACGGTGACCTTTGAGAAGGACTTCATGTACTTGGCATGAGAAAGGTTCCTGGTTCAGCCCCTGGAATTTCCAGGCAGGGGAGTTGACAATATTGACCTAGGTAATGCTTCAAATGAGCCAGATATGGAGGTATAAAAGATTATAAAACTGTGATAGATTCATGTGGTGTGACTTCCTGAATGGTGTACATAGATAAGTGGTAATTTACTTAGATGCAAATAAAATTTTAAACAATGGGATCTACTTTTGAATAAACACCATCAGGTTTTAAACCTAAGTCATTCATCTTTGTTAATATTTCCTTTCACTTGCGTGCATGAAAAGAAATATCATGTGCTTTAGTACTGGTCTGTACTATTGGTCCCTCATTTTAGTAACCAAATGAACCCTACTTGAAACAGTACTTCCCTTTATGTTTCCTTGTTCAAAAATGGCTTTTACAACTGCTTAAATGTCATATTTAAGTATTTCTAAAAGTGCAAGGTTGAAGGGTTAGTTTTTGAAGTGCACCCAATGAGTTCTGCGTATACAAGCATCTCCCGCTGTCTAGACAAAACCTTGCATTAGAAAAGATAGTGGTGCACAAGTTGTAGCCCTCTAGATATTTTGTGTCCACAGTTCACATCAGTCTTAGCTAGCTTAGCCATTGGTGAGGGAAGGTGGGAGTAGTAGGACAAAACAAGGTTCACAAGGTATTGCACAATCCCTTGGTAAAAGAGAAAAAATTAGTAGAAAGAACTGTAAAAGGAGAAGTTGGATCCTGTGCATATTTCCTGCTATTATAGGACAGGATTAGAACAAGGACAAGTGGATGGTTGGAACAATTGTTGAAAGACAGAAAAAAAGGGTGAGGGAGAGGAAGGATTGACTTTATGTTGAAAAATGGAGATGAGTATTACAATGGCGTATACGAGTAAAAAGCTTGTTTATGCTTTGAAGAAATAACATTTCTATTTTGGTGTTGTTGGAAATGCTTCCAGTATTTTAGCACTGCTGTTTTTTAAGCGTCTGTTTTTCCCTCCTTGCTAAGTGGTTATGCATAGTCAGTCTGTTCCAGGTGTTAGTCATCATCATGTCTCATGCCCCCAAAGACCAAACAATTAGCTGTGTGCTTCCGTGGTCTTAACAGATAGTTCCAATGAAATATAGCTCACTTTCTTGTTTGATTCTGTGTGGGCAACACAGAATATATCGTAAATTACTGTGATGTTTGTCACTGTGGGGCATGAACAAAATGTACAAGAACAAACATTTTGGGCTGTAACTAAAAATTAAGAAAGCACAGCAATATTAGCATATAGGCAATTACTTATCTGAAGCTCTTATCAGCTCACTGGAATATTAATTTTAACTGGCAGAAGAAAGGGATCTTAAAAGCTTCTATGCTGAAGATTATATGGAACTAGTTTTCGTAGTAAAGAAATATTAAAACATTGTAATGAATTCTAGCAAAAACAACGAAGAGTATTGTACCACCTAACAGATGCATGCGTTCTTGTGTAACTGTTCATGGACACTTGATGCAAAAGTTTATGCAAGAATAAAATTGTCAGTGATTAAGTGTCACAAGAGTCTTGCTATTGAAAAGCTGGCCATCCATGACTTCTGATACAGGTATTGGTTTTTGTTGCTTATCTTTCTAATTCCTTGAAAGCAACATGGTAGCTGCTGTCCAATTAGGTATTTGTAGTAACTTAAAGGAAGCTGTGTTGCTACTATAGATTTCCTTCTCAAAGAAAGACATAGGGATATCTCATGAAATTTCTGTGAGGCCAGTGACAAAATCTGTTTGTCTTTCAGATCCCCAGCTCAAGGGCATAGTGACCAGGTTATATTGCAGGCAAGGCTACTACTTGCAAATGCACCCTGATGGAAGTCTGGATGGAACCAAGGATGACAGCAGTAATTCTAGTAAGTGATTTTTCTAGGAAATGATTCTCCATTCTTGTACAAGTTCTGGAGTTAGCCATTTCATGATGTGTGCGTATGCGTCATGGCTGTCTTTTTAATGATTTTTGTTGTTTTCCAATGTTCATTTTGGGAAAACAGGAAAAATAGCCTGTTTCATGAATGTGATTAAGAGGACACATCTGATTTCTAGAAAATACTGATGCTCTTATTCAGTGCTTAAGACCTGCTCATATTAAACAATCTGGGTTCAAATATGTATGTGCACTTGCTAATTTGATAAGAACTCTGTCTCTGCTACCTTGTTGCTTTAGGGTCTAGTCATATTTGGTAATGGACTTTGGAATGTTCTCCCCAGAAAGGTTCACCTGGTACCTTCTCTGTCTTCTCTTAGGGACCAGGTGAAGACCTTTTTATTCTGACAGTGTTTTAATTTCTAATTTGTTTTAGGTAGCATTTTAACTGTGAATTATGTTATCAGTTCTTCACATTTTACGTTGGTTTTAATGGTTATTATTTGTAATTTCTGTTTTTATACTACATTTTATTCTGTATTTTTGTTGCTGTAACCCACCCAGGGAACCATATGGCTAATGGGGCAGGTTAGCAATCTAATGCATAAATAATTGAATAAAGGGTAGCTTCCCTGAGGCACTAAATGTAATGGCCCTTTAAGGATTATTCTAAAAGCGACAATAAAGTATTCCAGGGACAATATTGCTATTTGACAGAGGGTTATTTTAATATTTCATGGCTATGTCATCCCCTGTCAGAATTTGGCAATGGATTCAAGGGTTTGTAAGCACAATTTTGATGTTGGTTGACTGAAATTTGCTGCATTCCTAAAGAATTCTGCCATGGGGAGGGGAACACATCTCAAGCTGCCATGATTTCAGCCTTGAAACAGCTGTGCAGTCCTGTAGCTTGGTCCACAGCTCTCTGGCCCTGAGTACACGAAAGCCATTTCAGTTCCTAAGTACAGAGTGACCAAATCTCATGACAGCTGAGTGAGCCTCCAGGGATACGTCTATTTTCCCAGCCCAGTTTTGTATTCATTTCCTGCTTTGGGGTATTAATAGAGGCATCTGACTGGTCATTGTTAGCAACAGATTCCTGGTTCAGTTGACTGCTCATTCCATTCATGTTTTTATGTACATATGTTACTGTGTGAGCAGGGGCTTAGGATGGATTAAGGATCTATACAAGTCATTCATACCCAAGGCCAGCAAGCATTCCTCTATGAGTGAGGCTCAAAGAGTGGCTTGTTCACCATGCATTAGGCTAGAGAAATTCCCAAAGTCTTGCTCCATTCTTTGCTTCCCAGTGAAAGACTTTTTGCTTGACTCCCAAACTTTGTTAAGGTCATGCTAATGCCATCGACTCACACCTATGCTTAGAGACCTATAGTAGACACAAATGGTGCAGTAAAATGAAGCTTTCCTCCATTGTTTTGAGTACACATATTCTTGAAATCTGATATCTTTCTTAAATCATTTCATTAAAATTGTTCATTTAAATAAGCTAGAATGAAGTTTGAATCATAGAAAACTATAAGGCCTTTGAGTGCAACCCTCTGCTCATAGTAAGGCTCCAAGTTAATGCATCCTTAACAGATGACTGACGAGGTACCTCTTTAATGCCTCCCGTGTGGGAGAGCCCATGAACCCCACATCAGTCTAACTATCAGGAGGTTTTTCCTGATGTTCAGCTAGAATCTGACTTCCTGTAACATGAGCCTGTTATTCTTTGTCCTGCACCCTGGAATGATCAAGAAGAGCTCCTGGCCTTCCTCTGTGTGACAACCTTTCGAGTATTTGAAAAATGCTAGCATATCTCCCCTCATTCTTCCCTCCTGCAAGTTGAACACGCCTGGTTTTTCATTCTCTCCTCATAGGGATTTATTTCCAGACCACTGATTATCTTTGTTACCCTTCTCTGAGCCGACTCCAGCTTGTCTACATCCTTCTTGAAGTGTGTGTGATGCTTGGAAGTGGCCACAGTACTCAAGATGGGGCCTAACTTGTTTCAAATAGAAGGAAACAAGTGCATCGTGTCATTTGGAGCTATGTTTCTGTTGATGCAGCCCACGATGGCATGTGCTCTTTTTGTTGCCACTTCACATCGTTGGCTCACGTGCAGCTTGTGATCTGCGGCATTTGCAAACCGTTCCCACTTGCAGCATTGTTGAACCAAGTGTTCTTCATGTTGCAACGGCATTTGGTTAACTCTGCATTATGAAACAAACACGTAAGATCTGTGCCATATTTCCTGGCGTTTCATGCAGTTATGGTTGACCACAGAAGCAGCGAGACTGGAATGGCAATTAGTTTCAGCCCAGCCCAGAGTCTTGAAAAAAAAGTGGAGTGGGGAGAAGAGAGGCATGCCTCTTAAAAGGCACTCTGGGCAACTATTTCCTTCTTGTTCCACCCCCCCAACCCCCACCTCAAAAAAGTTGATTTGGAAAGTATTTACTTTTTTTACTTTTTTTGGATTTATATCCTGCCTTTTTCCTACAAAGGACTCAAGGCAGCTTACATCATTCCCCTCCTCCATCTTATCCCCACAACAACAACCCTGTGAGGTAGGCTGGGCTGAGAGTCTGTGACTGGCCCAAAGTCACCCAGTTGGCTCCATGGCTGAGTGGGGACTCGAACCCAAATCCTCTGAGTCCCAGTCCCATGCTCTTCACCACTACACCACACTGGCTCTCAAAGTATGTCAAATCCTGACCTCTGCTGTATTTGTTTTGGTGTACTGTGCCTGCTTCTGTAACAAATTATCCAAGGACTCTGTGCAGAGTTATGTAGTTTCATTTTATTTGTCATTAGGTAAGATTCAACTTGTTTACTGTGTTAGAAACTTGATGGGTGGCAGTCCTGCTCACTCCTCCATGTCTCATTTTGTGTTTTGAAAAGAAGATTTCCTAAAATACCATCCTTAATGCTCCCCTTTTGGTCTGATAAAATTACTGCTTCGATGTATTTCCATGGGTTACCCAAGATTTGGACTATGACTGTCCCTGGTGATACATTAGAATGGCAAGCAGATTGGGGAAAAGTGTATTTAAGGCAGGGCTATCTCAAAAAGGTACTGTCCTCTGTATCCACAAACCATTGCATTTTCTTGGGATCTGAAGGGAGGAAAGGAGAGCAAGGCACTGTATCGATAGGCAGATAGATGGATAGCTTGCTTTACAGTCACCCTAGCATACATCCACATAAACAGGTAGAGTTCAAATACTGATTCTGAACAATCTCATGTTTTACTGACAGTATTTGGTGTGGTGGTTGAATGACTCTTCCCTGAATTTATTTAGGATTAATCACTTGAAATGCCGACTATTAAAACATCTAACCTCTGATTGAACAAATGGTTAAAATGCTGTTTATCTTCCGAGATTCTGCAACCTACTCCATTCTCTGTCAGCTTCGAAAATCAAATTCCTATAATGTAAAATCTTTAACTGTAATAGCTGCCTTTAAACTCCCAGTCCATGTTCTTCCATAGTTGTCTTCCAGTCCCATAAAGGATCAATGAAGGCACTTAATTTACTCTAAATATTATTTATTTATTTATTTATTTATTTAAAACATTTCTATGCCGCCCCATTCGCCGAAGCCTCAGGGCGGCTCACAACATAAAATTAAAATATAATACATTCAAAATATAAAACAAATTGACAATATAAAATAAGTCGCCCTGGCCAGATAAAATAAGCAAATAATATTAACAATTAAAATGACGTTTAAATAAAAAGGTCTTTTTGTGTGACTGTCATTGGTTTGTTTTTCTCCCTGACAGGTAGCTTGAATCACATCAGTCTCTTAAGATGAGCGATAGTGAACAGCTCCAAAAAGCACAGTAGGGCCAATACTTTTGTTTGGACTAGCCAAAATATCTTAAAGGAGAGAAGTTTGGTAAATAAGAGGTGTGAGGCAAAGGAAAACAAGTGTTAAAAACTATAAAGTTTTAAAGTTTGCATCACTCAGAGTCCTTAAGCTAATGTCTAGGAAGACCTAGTTGCAATATGAAACACACCTAGACACATATGCAAACACACAGGCCATGAGAAGAAAAATCCAGAGATCTAGAAATCCAAGTGTCCAGGATCTTAAGATCTCCACTTGGTGGCACAAGATGCAGATACAATTGAGATATACTAAAGACTATAAAGCGTGGGGCTTTTATAAGGATTTAACAGCATTTGATCAAGTGATGCTTAAATCAGATGAGAAAATGATGAAAAGACTATATAATTTCTTACTTGATAGGAGAATGGAAGATGAACAGGTTAAGGAAACCATGATAACGTGGGCACAAAACTTTGGATATAATATTGAATTAGAAAAATGGCAAAAGCTGTGGGAGAGAAATATTAAGGTAACATTAGCAACTTCGTATAAAGAAAACTTGTATAAAATGTTTTATAGATGGTATCTGTCGTCAAATAGATTAGCTAAGATGTTTCCAAATATGTCAAATGGATGTTGGAAATGTAAACATAAATTGGGTACTTTTTATCATATGTGGTGGACTTGCGATAATGCAAAGAAGTATTGGATTAAAATACATAAATGGCTTGAGGAAATGTTACAAAAACCTTTAGCTTTTAAACCTGAAGTCTTCTTATTAGGCATTATACCTGTGGACATTAGTAAACAAGAAATGAATTTGATTTTACATGTAATTACTTCGGCGAGGATTGCATTTGCTCAACACTGGAAAAGTGAAGAACTACCCACTGACAAACTGATTCTAAAAAAGATCTTGGACTGTGCAGAAATGGATAGATTGACTTTATCATTGAAGGAGAAAGAAGATACTGATTTCTATCAAACTTGGGCCTCTTTTTATTATTGGCTAGAGAAACGGGACTTCGTATAGATTTAAATATGTTTTTAAGTTATCATAAATGAAAAAAAATGTGGGGGCTGACCCAGCAGGCCCGATGTTTTTGATGATTGATGTTGTTTTTAGTTCTCCTTTGCTTTTAGGATTATAATTCCAAATAAAACCAGGCTTTATGCCAGGTTTTGCAAGCTTTTGAACAGGGCAACTTCAGACACCTATGAAATGATTACAAAAGCAGGGGGTTTCTTACCTTTTCCCCTGCAGGGGGAGGCACTGCTGTGTGCTAGGAAGCCGCATGGCAAGAGCAGCATGGGTAGTTTACTAGAAACCGTGGGACTTCTGATTTATGCGCATAATAAAAACTTTGGCGCAAAAAAAGATCTCCAAATCTCTTTATCAGGCGAGATGTTTCAAAAAGCAGACTGGCCAAGCCTTTTGATGGTGAAGAGATTTGGCTTAATAAAGTTATTACTGGAATAACAGTTCAGCCAGCAGTTTCGTGGTCCTGTCTGCACCTTAAATGTACCATGTTTCCCTTGCCACAAGGTGTGCTGTACCCTGCATGACCACATGATTTCTGTGAGAAGATATTCCCAATGTGCATTTTAGGTCTACCAAGGTAGATTTTGAAATTACTAAAATAGCTGCCTTGTGTAGTTGAGTCTATGCTGCAAGCTGTTCAGGAGAATCAGCTTGCTGAGCAAATCATGGGATTCTCCTGACATCTCTACCCAAACCTGGAAAAAGAGTGAGTAATTACAGTGATAAGGAGAAATATTTCTCTTTGAGGTGGTAAGTTTCTGCACTGCGCACTCAGCTTGACCCAAGGAGTTGCTATAGGGTGCTAGTTTAAGTAGCTGAGTTTAAGTAACATCAGGCCCACTGATGTTCTCAAAGATGAATGTTACATGTTAGTTCTTCTGAAGCTATGTTGTGTTGCCCTGTGTTGTTGGACTACTCCGTACATGATCATTGGCTATGTTGATAGGGAAAAATGAAAGTTGTATTTTAACACCTGCACATTCAAGTTTGGGAAAAGGCACTTTGAAGACTTAGAGGTTTTAGATTTTAGACAGGTTTGGGAAAGAATGATGAACAGTCAAGGGTTTAATTTTTCTAGTTTGTTGTAATACAGGTTTAAATTATGGATGCATTCACACATGACCAAATATAATCATATGACTGAAAAGTGTACACATTTATTCATTTTGGTCTAGAAGCCAGTCTGGATCTAACTTAATATAAGTAGATCTTAATATAAGTAGATACAGGTTCTACTTAATATAAGTAGAAATGGTTTCATATCATTTAAAGCTGCTACTACGGATAAGACAGAAGAAGAGTTGTGCTGGATCAGACCAAAGGCCTGTCTAATCCAGCGTTTTGTTTCTACAATGGCCATTCAGATGCCAATGGGAAGCCTGCAAGTAGGACACAGGTTCCCCAGCCACCAGTATTTAGAGGCATACTGCCACTGATACTGGGAACAATAGGCAACCGCCTATATAGTCGCGTACTCCATGGATTTACCTAATCCCCTTTTGAAAGTCACCCAGGTTGGTGGCCATCTCTTCATTTTGTGGCAGTGAATTTCATAACTGAACTTAATGCAAAGCATATTTTCTGTTATCTGTTCTGTATCTCCCACTACTTGGATTTATTTGATAAACCTGACTTTCAGTATTAAGGTGGATCACTTTTATCCACACCGTGCATAATTTTATGCATTTCTATCAACTCCCTCCTTACTCTTTGTCTAAGCTAAAAAGGTCCAAATATTGTCACCTTTTCTTAGAGAAGAGATGCTTGAATTCCTTTATCATTCTGGCTGTCCTTTTCTATGCCTGCCCTGAAAAATATAACATCTTGATTTAGATACTGATGCTGAACTGAGCTGTGTTTTGGCTGCAGCCTTGCCCTATACTCAGTGCACTGTGGATTATTTGCCCCATGGGTACAGCTGTGGTGCACTTGGGTTGGATGCAACTGCCATTTTCAATATTCAGTTTTCTACTTGAGTCCTCTTGAGGTCCTCTTGAGCTGGTGAGCATGGTTATGAGAGCAACCTGCATATGCAAGTCAAATAACCCATGATGAGCCATGGCATGTTTTTAAATTCCTGTCTTGTATAATTGTGGATATGATGTGAACTGCTTTCTCTTTAAATTCCACATATTACTGTATTAATAATGTGTGCTTTTTTATCTGCAAAATCATTTGTAAATAAGTTTGAATTTTTAACTTGCTTACCTGTAACAGATGTTCTTTATTTTTGCAGCATTGTTCAACCTTATACCAGTGGGACTTCGAGTCGTTGCTATCCAGGGTGTAAAAACAGGCTTGTATATAGCCCTAAATGGAGAAGGGTTCCTTTATACATCAGTAAGTAGTATACCATCTATAATGCTTGCAAGCTGCTCCTCTGGAATAAGCCAGTACATAGACAATTTTTCATGATTTAAATGGATGAAGGATAAGCAGAAACTATGTGTGGATTCTCAACGGGTTTTTTTTTTAGTTTTCTCAAAATAGTCAAGGACTACTACTGTTTTAAAACTCTTGAGGGGGCTGGTTGGACCCCTTTTTCATGTCATATTTGTTATGCAGAAACCAATGCAACTTATGTACAAAAGTAGCTTCGGTCTACTTGGATGATTCCATGTTGGCGCAGTGCGGACTCACAGCATGGACCTCTTCTGTGTGGCTTGAGGCTTCTGTTACTGCCTTTGTGCCCTAGGAAGGAGCTGTGCTCTAGCAAGGAAACAGGAGAAGGGGCCATTGAATCATTCCATGAGGCAATTTAATATTAACTAATTAGATGCATTTTGGGCAACAGCTGGTTGACTTTGTTTACCATGGCTATATAATACTGTGCCTACAGGATATCATGTAATCCAAATATTTTTGATATCCTGATTTAATTTGCTATACCATAATCTCATGCAGTTAAAGCACACAACATTTATAGCAAAACTGTAGATAAATGGAAATGTTGTTCTGGCAGAAAATGGGATTTCAAGGAAGAGACATCATAAATTTGGTGATGTATTTTGGTTCAACAAAGTTAAGGCAATGCTGTATATATATTACTTCACCTTATTTAATTATGTAATATTTAAAACTGATTTTATCCACGGATGTCATTGTCATGATTAGAAGCATGGAAACTTTTCTCTTAATAACTAGACAAGATCCAGCCAAATTGCATCGCACTAGAGCTCTATTGATTTCAGTGGAAGAGACTTTCCTTTTCCACAGAGAACAATTCTAGTGTACTGTGTTTTGACTGTATTAGTCCAATGTTTTGTGCATAAAATATTGTTAGTTGGGAATTATATAGCATATCTTATCATGGTTCAAAAATAAATTCACATGGCGTATGTAGGTTACCTGTGTCCTAAAGGAAACTAGCAAAATATATTCCTGGAGGTTATTTCACAATGGCTAACCACCCCAGGGTTGAGCAAATTTTCAGTGAGGTGAATGGGAGATAGTTAAGTGTCTGCTTAACTCTCCTGTTGAACTAAAGGGTTCATTTTGAATAGTTCAGAACATTAGGTTTTAACATTTAAAAAATGATTCATGTTTGCTTATCTGGTACCCCATGGCCCTAATCCAAAGGCATGAGCACAGCAGCATGTCCCTGCTGGTCTCCTTAAGGCTTGTGCACTCAGGAGCCTGGTGCTGCACAGGCCAGTGCGCTGAGCCTGTGCAGTGCATGGTACATGGTTGTTCACGCCACACTGTGCCCAGCTAGTGATACCTGTTTGCAGGTGCCCATTCCCCTGGCTGGATCGCAAAGTCTGCTTTAAGGTGTTCTCTTTCAGAGGAGATGCTTGATCCGTCATCATGCTTTTCACGTCACCTGTCGGAAAAGCAGCCTTGAGTTACCAACATGATGATTTGCTTCATTTGAAGGAATGCCAGACATTATCAGGCTCCTGACACCCTGAAAAAAATGTTCTGCTTGTTTTGAATAGATGACAGTGCTCTGAAATTTAATTAGGAGGAAATGTTCTAATAACTGAAATGTCATCAAGATAAAAATGAGTGTTACACAGCACCTCTCTGTCATACCTTCAAGTGTGGCATACAGGATATCTCTATTTTGTACAGCACCGAAAGTGTGGCAGAGAAGAACTGCAACATAAAAGGGTGCAGTACCTCAAGGCTGAGGAAGGCCCAAACTCTTGCTGTAATGGTTGGCCTTTCTGCTTCATTATATTGTGTGCAGACATATGTGTTTGTATATGTAAAACAATTCTCTGTGACAGTAGTGTTTCTACATATTACAGTGTTTTTCATCATTTGTAGAGGTAAGGAAGAAATTCCCAAAGGTTAATTCTATTCATAAAAAATAGATTGGGAGGTAGTCCAAAATAATTATGCATTTATGGATGTATCTATGTATGTATTGCATTAGTATGCCATTCCACTCTCTGGGCGGCTCACAAGAAACAACAACGTAGCATAAATATAATAAAAATATGCAGAATGGAAAATAGTACACCTATGAGGCTATTCTAATTGCCATCTACATGTCATTTGGAAGATTCCATTACATTTATTTTTTTTCTGAAATCAACACAACCCTGATAGTATGGCAGCATTTGAAAGTATATTGTGTGTGCACATGTGAGTACATGTGCTTTATATTTTAAAAGCTGCTGTTGCACTGGCTAAGCATTCCTTGGACAGAATGGCTCACTCTAACACAGAGCCTTATTAAGGTAAAAGGTAAGTGCACTTTGTTGTGAAGAATAATGGTTTTATTCTTTTTGAGAGAAGTGTGGTATAGTTGGACATATATGAACCAGATGTCATAGCAAGAACCTGAAGGTGAAGCACATCATGAACTTTTAAAAAATGTAGCTTTAAAATGCTCAGTGAGTCATGATCTAGAGAATCCACAGCAGTCAACAAAATTTGTCATCAATCCGAGTGGATACTGTAGTGTAATCCATGGAGACTTCTGCACAAATGGCTTCTTCATCTATTTGTAAAAAGATAGGCATTTCTTGTATTGGATCATTCCTTATTCTTGTCTTATGTATCATAAGCTAAACATTTACCTGGGAAGAAGCATCTGATGAAGGAGACTGTGTCTGTGAAAGCTTATGCATAAACAATTTGTAAGTCTGGGGGTGATCAAAAGCTTCATTTTGGTGCCTGATTTTGTCTTTATACAGTGACAGATCAAAAGGAAAATGTACTGGGTGAGATTCATCATTCACTTTTCTCACACAACTCCCATTTATTTCTCACTGGTGACAGTTCTGGTTTGAAGGAGCATGAACTTGTAGTACGAAGAATGATGAAACATTACCCTTAGAGGAAAAGTCATTTTCATTATTATGGATCAATGAATGAGAATCATAATTTTGTCAGTAGGGTTCTTATACTTTTTGTAGTGCTTTAGTCTGCTACGTTTATATTGCTGTATTTTCTTAATTCTTTATCTCCTGGGTTATACAATGCTGTTCAGGGCAGCTTGCTGAGTTCAAGAATCATAGTGAATTTTGATTTTTCAATTAGTTAAAATGTTGATTTAATATACTGCATGTCATCTGAAGTGCCTTTAGTCAGAGAAGCAACCTATATATTCAACAGGATTATACTGTTGAATAATCCTGTATAATTTGGTCAGAACTCAGGACTTCTACACACTTAACTGGAAGGAATGCCCCACTGGACATAGTGGAACTGAGTCCTTGGTAAATGTGCATAGGATTTTGGGCACCTCACTGTAAGTGAGAAACTAGAGACTAACCAGAAAGGTCAGGGGTCATGATGAACACTTGAAAAGTTGTGTATATTTTGCCTGGTAACAAAGAATTTAAAGGGAAGACACTGAAAGGCGGTGGCATAGAAAATGGAACATATTTGTTCTCTGTAGTTCCAAAAGGGTGGGTATTGCTAGGAAGTTGTCTGAACTTTAAAGGAAACTTCCTAATGGTATCCATTCTACAGTGAAACACATTAGACAGATTCATATGCCGCAACAAGCCATGGTAGTCTCTTGTGCAGGAAGCTCTATTGTATTGTACCAACCCTGGCATGGTATTTCCATATGGTATATTTGGTTTTCACAAACCACAATAAGAAACCACAGTGTGTTCTATGGTTTCCATGCTTCACCATAGTTTCTCCAGACATCTGAGCCCACCACTGCGGCTTCCTTGGTCCCGCTATACAGCTACCACAAGGTCCACTGGAATGGGTGATGGCTGCTGCAGGAGCTGCTCCAGCCATCCAGCATGGGATTGAATTTCCAGCACAGTGGCTGATGGGATACTTGCCAATAGTGTGAGGACTGAGCAAGGAAGATGGAAAGTGTGCTAACATAGAAACTATTTAATCATCTCTCGGGAACATCTATGCAAAGAGCTGTGCAGCACGGTAACCGTACAAGGTGCTTGTTATGACAAGCAAATACAGTCACTTACTTTGGATGGGGTTATTTTTCCTAGAGGTATTTAAGCAGAGACTGAAAGGGCATACTGTAGTTTTGAGTTTCCTGAACTAAACAGGGTTTGGGCTAGATGAGCTCCAAGGTCTCTTTATATCAAAAAGTCTTTGAATGTGTTGTACATGCATATTTGAATAATGATTACGGTGATTTGGATTTTGCTCACCCAAGGTCTGTATCACAGAATTACAACGTGAATGGAGTATCCACTTCTCTTTATGGATATAGCAACATGCCATTGAATGAATTTTAATGCCTTTCAGCTGTATAAACTACAAGTAAGAAATATCTGTGCTATACAACCTGCAGGACAGAGACATAATCTGGATTCTGCCCACTATCTGGGACACTTGACTTGCAGCAGATAAGTGACAGATAGGAGACTTGAACTGGAACTGTGGACAGACTTTGAAAGAAATAGTTTTTGCATCAGTTGCAACCAGAACCAGAGGTAGGAAGACTTGACATCCTGAGGGAAATCTTGTATGCCAAAGCTATTTCACCACTTTTCAAGTCCCACCTTTTCAAGTGTACACATACCCTCTGTGTTGCATATATAACTAATCTGTAATACACAAAATTCTACTTTAGCCAAGTGAATAGCAATTGTGTTAGCTCCCAGTAATATTTCAGTCTTTTGGTCAGGACTTGGAGTTTCTTCCATCAATTAATGAAGGTTCTCCAGTGAAGGAGCTATGTACTGTGAACTAGGAAGTTCCTATTTCATTGTAAACTCATTAAGTGGCCTTAGCAAAACTACCCCATTAAAACCCAAGGAGAAACCGTAGACTTTTTAAACAAGGCATTGACTGTGTGATCACCATTTTCCATTCGTGATTGCTTAAAGGTTTGTTAGATGACACTGTGACCATCCAGTTTTGCTCCTGTGTATACCCAAGTTATTTGGCAAGTT